CATTATGGTTCTCTAGTACCTGTCCTCATACCTTAAACAGATTCAGTAACAAGACTTGTAGCCAGAACATAAATACAATTTCTGGGGGAACTTTATTTATGTTATATACATAGAAAAATACACATGTTGTGTGTATAGTTGACTCTTGAACAACGTGGGTTTGAACTGTGCGGGTCCACTTACATGCAGATTTTTTTTGATAAATATAGTACAATACTCTAAAGTATTTTCCTTACGATTTTCTTAACACTTTAGTGTATTTTATTGTAAGAATACATCATATGATATACAAAATATATGTTAATTTAACTGTTTATGTTATTGGTAAGGCTTCTGGTCAACAGTAGGCTCTTAGTTCAGTTTTTGGGGAGTCAAAAGTTATATGTGGATTTTCATCTGCATGGGGGTTGGCACCCTGACCTTCCGCGTTATTCAAGTTTCAACTGTACAGATTATGTCATCTGAGACTAGAGATATAAGAGTTTTCCTTTCAAATCTGGGTGCCTTTTATTTCTTTTCCTTGCCTAATTGCTCTAACTAGAACCTCCAGTAATATGTTGAATAGAAGTGATGAGAGCAGCCATCCCTGTCTCATTCCTGTTTTTAGGGAAAAGCTTTCAGTCTTTCACCATCGAGTATGATGTTAGCCTTGGGTTTTCGTAGATGCCTTTTATCAGTTTGAAGAAGCTACGTTCTATTCCCAGGTTGTTTAGTGTTTTTCTTTTTCTTCGTTTGTTTTTGTTGTTGGTTTTAATCAGAAAGGGGTATTGGGTTTTAAGTGCTTCTGCATTTGTTGAGATGATCATATGGTTTTATCCTTTATTCTGTTAATATGGTGTATTGCATTGATTTTTCAGTGTTTCTGCAGTAAATCCACTTTGTCATGGTATCTAGCCTTTCTTACATCTTGCTGCATTTGGTTTGGTAGTGAGGACTTTTGCATCTGTATTCATGAAGGATATTACATTGGTCTGTGGTTTTCTTTTTTGTTGATGTCTGAGCATTTGGTTTGAGAGTAATATTGACTTCATGAGTTGGGAAGTATATTCTGTTTTTTTGGAAGTGTTTGTGAAGGGTTGGTGGTGTTTGTTCTTTAGATGTTTGGTAGAATTCACCCCTGAAGCAGTTTGGTTCTGGGGTTTTCTTTGTTGGAAGTTTTTTCACGATTAATTTCCTCACTTCTTTTAGGGTTTCTATTCTTAAGTCACTTTTGGTGTTCTCTGTCTTTCTAGGAATTTGTTTATTTCCTCTACTTTGTTGGTATACGGTTGCTTATAGTATTCCCTTATAATTCTCTCTTTTTTCGAGGGTGGCTAGTAATATTCCCTCTTTCATTCCTGGTTAGTAATTTGGGTCTTCTGTTTTTCTTGGTCAGTTTAGCCAAAGGTTTATGAGTTACGTTGAAGTTTCAAAGAAGTAACTTCATTTTGTTGATGTTCTTTATTGTTGTTTAATTCCCTTTTCATTTATTTTCACTCTAATCTTATCTTTATTTACTTTCTTTGGCTTGCTTTAGGTTTAATTTGCCTTTTTTCTAGTTTCTTAAGGTGGAAGCTTAGGATCTTGGTTTGAGTTCTTTTCTGATGTAGGAGTTTGAGGTATGCATTTCCCTCAAAGCACTTTTTTAGCTGTGTTATGGTTGATTTGTGACCCCCCAAAAAGATATGTTGAAGTCCCTTACCCACCCTATGCCTCAGGATGTGACCTTATTTGGAAATGGTGTCATTGTAGACAAATTCAGATGAGGTCCAGAATAGGATGGCTCCTAGTACAATGTGATTGGTGCTGGCATAAGAGAGGAAAGTACTTTGTGAGGACAGGCATGTATGGAGGGGACAATGTGAAGACGTAAAGGGAAAGGAGAGCCATATCCTGGAGTGACACCTATAAGCCATAGAATACCAAAGCTTGCCGGCAAACACCAGAAGCTGGAGAGGGAAGAAAAACCCCCTAGAGCCATCAGAGAAATTATGGCCCAGCTGGCACCTTGATTTTGGACTTCTGGCTTCCAGAATTGAGACAATGAATTTCTGTTGTTTTAATTCACCCAGTTATGATACTCTGTTATGGCAGCCCTAGAAAACTAAAACAAGCTGCCTCCTACAAATTTTGATATGCTGTGTTTTCACTTTTTTCAGTTCAAAATATTTTCTGTTTTCCCTTGTGATATCTTTGACCCATGGTTTGGTTGATTGATTATTTATTAATTTTTTTTTTTTTTAAGTAGGCTCCACACCCAGTGTGGGGCTTGAACTGATGATTCTGAGATTAAGTGTCAGTGCCCTGCCGACTAAGCCAGCCAGCCAGCCAGGCACCCTGACCCATGGATTATTTAGAAGTGTGTTGCTTAATTTCCAAGTATTTAGGTACTTCTTAGATTTTAATATTTTGTTAATTTTTAATATTCCATTACAGTCAGAGGATATATTTTAATTTCAACTTGTTTTAATTAATTGAAAAAAAAGGCTCAGATAATGTTCTGTCTTGAAGAATATTTGGAGTGCCTGAACAGAATGTGTATTGTGCAGCCCTTAGGTAGGTTGTTCTCTGTGCGTTAGATGGAGCTGGTCTGTGGTGTGGAATCTTCCTCGTTCTTCCTTGTCTTTTAGTGGTTCTCTTTTTTACTGGCATTAGGGTTTTGGAGTCCCCTGGTATTGTTGCATTTTCTTTTCCTTTCAGTTTTGTCAGTGTTTGCTTCATGTGTTTTGAGGTTCTGTTGTTACTTGTGAGTGTATTTATAGTTGTTACATCTGCCTGTTGTTTTGACCCTTTTTTCATTATGAAATGTCCCTCTTTGTCTCTAGCAATAGTTCTTGTTTTAAAGCCTATGTTGTCTGATAGCCGTGTAGCCCTTCCGCTTGTGGTTTGTGGTTTCTTCTTGTGGCTCTTTTTCCTGCTTTTACTTTCAAGTTCTTCCTATCTTTACATCTAAGGTCTATGTTTTGTAGATAGCATACAGTTAGATCATATTTTTTTTTTTTTACCCATCAGTCTCTGCCTTTTAATTGGAATAGTTAATCCACTTACATTTAATGTAATTACTGAAAAGGTAGGATTTGTATTGTTAGTTTGGTGTTTGTTTTCTATGTATCTTAGTCTTTCGTTCCTCTGTTCCTCCATTACTTTTTTTTTGTGTTAAATAGATATTTTCCAGTGTGCAATTTTACTTCCTTCATTGTTTGACTATACTTTGTTTCCTTGGGGAAAGAAATTTATTTATTTATTTTTTGACAGAGACACAGTGAGAGAGGGAACACAAGCAGGGGGAGTGGGAGAGGGAGAAGCAGGCTTCCCGCAGAGCAGGGAACCTGATGTGGGGCTGGATCCCAGGGCCCTGGGATCATGACCTGAGCTGAAGGCAGATGCTTAACAACTGAGCCACCCAGGTGCCCCATAAATAAAATCTTAAAAAAAAAAAAAAATCATACAGAAGGAAACAACAGTTACAACTAAAAGTGCATTTATACTGTCTTTTAGATTTACCTGGAGGACTTCCTTAACATTTCTTATAGAGTAGGTCTGCCAATGACAAATTCTTTTGTTAATATTAAATGCTTTAATTTCTTTTTCATTTATAAAAGTACTTTGGTGTGTGTAGAATTCTTGGTTAACATTCTTTCAACACTTTGAGTGTGTCATCCCACTGTCTTCTGGCCTCTGTGGTTTCCGATGAGAGAGCAGCTCCTAATCTTATCGAGGGTCTCTCTTATATGTCATTAAGTTGCATTTCTCTTGTTGCTTTCAAAATCCTCTGGCTTTCAGCAGTTGGAATATGATGTGTCTGGGTGAGTATGTCTTTGAGTTTATCTTATTTGGAGTTGTTGAGCTTCTTAGAATTTTCTGACTTTTCTGATTATTGCTTTCCTCTGAATTGTGAAGCCTGGGATGTGTGCTTTGTCTGTGATGCCAATGTTTACTGTTGTCTTTTACTGTAGTTACCGTGTCTTTGCATGATAACTTTGCATGGTAAGCCCAGTGCTTTAGTATTGGAGTCCGTAACATTGTAATCTGTGAATTAAAAGCATTAAAAAGAGTCAAAGCCCACTGTTCTTTTTTCTTCTACTTTTGATGTGATGGGTACGCACGGTTACGACAATGACAAAAAGGTCCAGTCACAGTATGGCTAAAAGGTAGCACTTGGTGCAGGTGCATTTGCCTGTCATTGCTGAGCTCTGCCTTGTAGCATGAAACAGACCACAAACCGTGTGTGGACAAGTGAGCCTGGCTGTGTGCCACTGTATGTGTGGATATTGGGATTTGAATTTCAGATGATTTTTCGAGTTAAAAACAAAAACATCTTTGGCTTTCAGGCTGTAGAGAAGCAGGCGGCAGGCTCTGGTTTGCTGACCTCTGATGGAGATGTACTCCCTGTGCTTCCAGAGCACCCTGTCCTTTGTTAGAACACATGCTTTGTGTGTGTGTGTGTTTTAAGTAATCTTTCCACTCAGCGTGGGACTTGAACTCATGACCCAGAGATCAAGAGTCGCATATTTTACCAACTGAGCTGGCCCGGTGCCCCACATACTTTGTGTTTTAATTACTGGTTCCTTTATATGTTATTTCTTTGTTAATGTCTTAAAGGCTAGACTGTAAACTCTTTGAAGGTAGGGCTTTAGCTTTTATTACTTTCCAACCTTGAATATTACCTGGCACATTTTAGGTGATCTGTAAATGTTGTAAAACTTAATGAAAAAAAGGGTGCCTGGATGGCTCAGTCGGTGAAGGGTCTGCCTTTGGCTTGGGTCATGATCCCAGGGTCCTGGGATCGAGCCCCCCATTGGGCTCCCTGCTCCACAGGAAGCCTGCTTCTCCCTCTCCCACTCCCCCTGCCTGTGTTCCCTCTCTCACTGTCTCTCTGTCAAAAATAAATTTAAAAAATCTTTAAAAAACTAAAAAACTTAATGAAAAAGGAGAAGGAATCAAAATTGGCTTATGGATTTTTTTTTTTTTAGGGTAAATGTTTTGGAACTAACCATCTTCCAAATATAGGTAGGAACCATTTATTCATGCATTTGTTTCTTCATTAGTTTGTTTTTGTGACATTTAATGCCTTTTGTTTGTCAGCCACATGAAAATAAACCTGGTGCCTTGTCCTTGGGAGGTTCTTTTATTCTAGTTTTGAGAATCACAGGCACAATTACCGTTTGATAATTGCTATTAAAAGAGAAAAATGCTACAGAAGCAGCAAAGAGGAAATGCTGAACCACTTGGGTTGATTAAAGGAAGCTTCCTGTGTGTTCATGCCTGCTGCAGACTGATACCACAGGCGTCTTACTCGGGATTCCAAATGGAATCTTGGAGAAAGGTTGGCTTCTCCACTTGTACAGATTGGAGTGGAGAGGTGGCTGCCATCTCCCAACGAGCTGGTCATAGCCTCCCGTGGTTTTTGAACACCTGAAATGTGTCCACATCAAACTGGAATGTGCTGTGTGAAATGTATACTGGATTAGAGAGACTTACTGAGATATTTCATATTTTCTTTTAGTATTATATTGGTTGTATGTTGAAATGATAATATTATGGATATATATTGGATTAAGTAAAATTTATTAAAATTATTCCTATCTCTACATTTTTTTTTTAAAGATTGTATTTATTTATTTGAGAGAGAGAGAGCACAAGAGGGGGGAGGGTCAGAGGAAGAAGCAGACTCCCTGCTAAGCAGGGAGCCCGATGTGGGACTCAATCCTGGGACACCAGGATCATGACCTGAGCCGAAGGCAGTTGCTTAACCGACTGAGCCACCCAGGTGCCCCTATTTCTACATTTTTAAATTTGGGTGCTGGAAAATTTAAAATTATACTGTGGCTCATCCTCTGTTTCTCTTGGGCAGTGCTGCCCTAACATGAAGAACATTTGGAATTTCCATTAATTTTGGACCATCTAGGATGAGAATTCTGTAATCTAGGGGAGAGGATGAGGGAGAAATTCTCCAAGAAAGGGGCTAAAGAGTAAGAGGACTTAGTGGAAGGCTGGAGGAATGCCCCCATTTTGTGGATGAGAGGAGCGAAGGCTTAGGAGAGATTAGTCAGCAGTTGGAAGAAAGCAGGCTTGCCGATGGCTGTTCAGCTGTGGGGCTGGAGTGCAGGTGTGCATGTGTGGATCAGAGCTGCCAGAAACCAGAGCCCCCTGGGGGGCATGTTGCAGTTTTCTTGTCTTTGCATCTGCAGCCCTACAGAGTGAGTGTGGTAATGAGCTCTGGCTTAGTGGGAGGTCTGGGGTTTAGTCCAGCATTGCCACAGACCTCTCGTGCACAGAGGTGGGTTGGAACTAGACTCTTAGCTGCTTTTCAGTTTGCACATCCTGTCACCCTGGCTTTACAGACATGAGGTATTTGTGTTCATGTGCTTCTTTACTTTTCTGTAAGTTAAATCCTAGTGACTCAGACTTCATTCTTCCTTTGCTGTCCTCAGGACCTACCAAGTCTGCCCTTTGAGCCTTGACCTAGGTGTTGCCAAGTCTGTTGATTCTCAGCCTTCATCTTACTATACCCCTTGACAGCATTTGACATAGTGGTTCAAGAAAAAAGGAGTGCGTAGTTTCCTCATTGGGCTTCCAGAACACCTCACTTCTCTGGTTTTACCTGCCTTGTCGGGTCTGTTTTCTGTCTTGTTTGCAGGACTTTCCTCTGGAGCCTGACCTCTAGATACTCAAGTGCCCCAGGGCCTCATCTTGGTCCTCCTGTTCAGTGTCCTTACCCTGAGTGACCTCAGCCAGTGCTGTGTGGACCCCAGCCTCACCTTTGTCTGGTCTCCAGCTTTGGGGACGTATTGAGTGCTGGGAGGGCTGATGGGCACCTTCAACCCAGTGTGCACTGGAGCTCTCGCCTGACCTCTGAGCTCATCCCGTAGTGACTGGCTTCATCTGTGGAAGCCGTTCCTCAGAAACTGCTGTTGGCTCTGCCTTTAGAGTACATCTTACACCTACCACAGGGGCTGTTGCTGGGTTCATGCCCACCTCTTCCTTCTGCTTCGCCATGGCTTCCACAGTCTCTGCTCAGGAACCTAGGTGTCCACGGAGTGTTTCTGCTGTGCGGGCAGCCTTCCTGTGGCTTGTGAGCTCTTCGCCAGGGCCGACAAAGCTATGTGTGGCGTCAGGCCCTGGCTACCTGCTATCTTTTCCTGCCACTTCCCCCAGCTCATGCTCTAGGCTTTGTGGCCCCCTGGCTATTTTTAGATGAACTGGGGCCCTGTGCTCCATGTTCCTCTGCCTGGAGAGCTCTTTGTGCAGGCCTCCAGGAACCTCTGTGGACACAGCCCTTCCCTGCCTCCTCTTGGGGAAGGCGCTCATCCTGTGAAAGGGCTGTAGGCTGGGAAACCCAGTCACCATTCCTAGCAAAGTTGTGTGTAAACTGGGTGCTTGTGAAGACCTGGGGGCTATCCTGTGGGATTTTGTTCTAGGACCTTGCATCTATGAGTCTTTATCAGAATCTTTGGCTGTTTCTGCTTGTTGGTTAGAGGCTGTGTCCTGAAGGCTGTTTGCAGAAGTGTGACTCTAATCGAGACATTTCCATGCTGGTACTTCTGTTGCAGTAGGATTTTTTTTTTTTTTTTTTTTTAAGATTTATTTATTTATTTTAGAGAGGGAGCAAGCATGTGCAAGAGTGAGAGAGCGTCTGCGTGAGCGCTCGGGATGGCAGGAAGGCCAGAGGGAGAGGGAGAGAGTATCTCAAGCGGCCTCCGGGCTAAGTGCGGAGCCTGATGAGGGGCTCAGTCCCACGACCCTGAGATCACAACCTGAGCCAAAGCCAAGAGTCGGCGCTTAACCGCTTAACTGACTGAGTCACCCAGGTGCCTTGTAGTAGTTTTTATGATAGGATTTATTCTGGTTTTGTTTAATAGCTTTTGACCCTTTTTTACCTGATTTGCTGGATCTGTTGATCTTTTATAGTGAAGTATTTCATTATTGACTTTAGCTCTTCTAACAGCAAGAAAGTAACTTAAAGTTTTGAGCGTAAACTTGGGAAATGAACAAGCTAAAATTTAAATCAGAGTAGTAGGGCGCCTGGGTGGCTCAGTTGGTTAAGTGACTGTCTTCGGCTCAGGTCATGATCCCCGGGTCCTGGGATCGAGTCCCGCATCGGGCTCCCTGCTCTGCAGGGAGCCTGCTTCTCCCTCTCCCACTCCCCCTGCTTGTGTTCCCTCTCTCACTGTGTCTCTCTCTGTCAAATAAATAAATAAAATCTTAAATAAATAAATAAATAAATCAGAGTAGTAATCCTAAAGATTTTTTCCAACTTTTCATTTTGAAAAATTTTAAACCTTTACAAAATGTCAAAGAATATTCAGTGAGCACTCATATACCCTTCACCTAAATTCATTAATGACTTTATCATCCTCTCTCTGTGATGTGTTACTATTTTTAATGCACCATAGAGAGTAAGTTGGATGTGTTATGTTCCTTCACCCCAAGGCTTTCAGGATCTCCTAAAAACAAGGAAATTCTCATATAATCACAGCATAGTAGTTAAATTCAGGAAATGTCGTATTGATGCAATACTATGAATAATCTATACATACAGTATATTGTTCATATTCAGATTTTCCCTAATTGGTCCCCATGTATCCTTTATAGACTTAAAAAATCACAGGTAATGCTTAGCATCTGGTTGCCTGGTTCCTTTTGTCTTCTTTAGTCTAGAACAGGCCCCAGCCCCAGTTCCCCTTAAATCTTTCGTGACATGTACAGTTTTGAGGAGTCCAGGTCAGTTGCTCTGTACAGTGACCCACAATCTGGATATGTCTGCTTTGTTTCCTCATGATTAGATTCAGATTAAACAATTTTGACAAGAGTATTGTGCAGGTACCGTTGTGGATGTTTTCATTACCTGAGGAGTCACGTGTGTCCTCGTGTGTTTCACGCCACAGTTTGATCAGTTGTTGAGGGCTTGTCTGCTGGACCTTCGTGTTGTGTGGTGCTGCGCCCTCTCCTTATATTCAGTAAGTGGATTCTGACATTCCTTCTCATTTGTTTCCAGACACTCTTCTTTAAAGAATAACTTTCCCCTGTTGTGCCCCTTACTTTTTGGTATTGCTGTGGAATGAATCCGTGTTTATCAAATGTATTGCAGTCTTCTTTTAGTTTTTCTTTTTGATGTTCAGATTATCCCAGATTTAGCCATTTGGAGCCTTTCAGGTAAGATTCTGTTTCTTTTTGACATTAGTCTTCGAGTGCCTTCTTGTTTTGCAGGATAACAGAATTGTAAGAAACTGTTGGCAAATGAATGTGAAAACCTAGATGAAGTGGAGACTCTCCTAGGAAAATGAAATTAGCCAAAATTTACCCTAGTAAAGATTGTATGTTGATTATTTATTGCTGTGTAACAGATTCCCTCCAATTTGGCTGCTTAAAACAGCAGAAATTTATTACCTCACAGTTTCTGTGGTTAGGACCTCAGACTGGGACCTCTGGGTCAGGGTCTCTTAAATAAGGCCAGTCACGATGTCGGAGGGGCTACGGTTGTGTCAGAGTTCAGCTGGGACAGGATCTTCTTCCAGACTTTCAGTCTATCTTACATCATCCATCCTACCCCCTACCCATTCATGCTATGTTTCCTTCTTCCCTCCCTGCCTCCTATCTGTCCACCCACTGTGCATCCATTATTCACTCATCCATTTTACTTGGTGGGGAAACCCTAGAGGCATTCCCACCAAGGTCAGTAACACAGGCTGCTTATCATTTCCGTTAATCTTCAGCATTTTATTGGTGGGATTAAGCAATGTAATCAGACAAGAACTATTAGAGGCAAAAGAATTAGAAAATAGTAAACAGTAAAATATTTGCCAGGGAGGTAACTGTGCCTGGAAATCATGAGAGTTGGTGCTAAAATGTAGACGATGAAATCATTCAGTAAAGGGACTAGATATAAAATTGACATCTAAAAATCAGTAGTCTTCGAATATACAAAACAGTAACTCCCTTTTTTTTTTTTTTTTTAAAGATTTTATTTATTTGAGAGAGAGAATGAGAGAGATCATGAGGGTCAGAGGGAGAAGCAGACTCCCTGCTGAGCAGGGAACCCAATGCAGGACTCGATCCTGGGACTCCAGGATCATGACCTGAGCCGAAGGCAGTCGCTTAATCAACTGAGCCACCCAGGCGCCCCCAGTAACTCCCTTTATACCACCAACGTGAAAGATAAAATACTCTGAAGTCAGTTTATGTATAAAACTTATATAAGAAATAGTGTAAAACACTGTTTCCCAAAACAGAAGACCTGAACCATGGAAAGACACTTCCTGTTTTTGGACATCATAAGTAAATAAAAATTTACATTTTTCCTTGTGAAAATACCGACAAGGAATCATTCTTAGTTCTGCGTTCTCGGACATCTTGTATTCAGTCCATCAGAAAGTCTGTTGGCTGTACGCACAGGACAACAGCTCAGTGCCACCACCACTGTCCCTCTAACAGTGTCACTACTTGGATCCAAGTCACCACTGTGCCTTTCTTGAATTATAGCAGGTACCCCTTAACTGGTCTTCCTAGTTTTTCTATTTCCATGCTGTACCTACCCTATCGATTCTTTGCCCAAAGCCAGACTGATCCTTTAAGCAGTAGGTTATGGAACTGTTCAATATCTTGACTGTGGCAGTAGATAGGTGAACCAGACAGGTGACAAAATTCTGTAGAATGGAACAGAGACACTGCATATATGAATGCAAGTAAAGGTGAGGAAATCTGAATAAGATTGGTGGGTTGTGTCAGCGTCAGCTCAGTATCCTGGTTGTGATAGTATACTGTAGTTTTGCAAAGTATTATAGTGGGGGAAACTGGATATTAGTAGGTTGAAGAGTGTTCTCTCAAATTCATGTTCATCTGGAACCCCAGAATGTAACCTTATTTGGACACAGCTTTGCCAGTGTAATTTATTAAGGATCTCATGATCAAATCATCCTGGATTTAAGTGTGCCCTGTGTTCAATGACTGGTATTCTCTTAAGAGGAGGACAGACACAGGAAAGAAGCTTGCCATGTGCACACAGAGGCAGAGATTGGAGTGGCACATCTGTGGACCAAGGAAGACCAAGGATTGCCATAGCCACTAGAAGCTAGAAGAAGCACGAAGGGATTCTTCCTTAGAGGCTTCAGAGGGAGCATGGCCCTGCCATCACCTTGATGTTGGACTTCTGACCTCCAGGACTATGAAAAGATAAAAACAAATTTGTTTTGTTTTAAGCCACCCAGTTTGTGGTACTTTGTTACAGCAACCCTGGGAAACTCATACACTGGGCAAAGTGTATAAGGTGGTCTATTATTTCTCATGCTTCACGTGAATCTACAATTATTTCGGTTGGAGATAACCATTTGAGGGACTGCCAAAATGTTTCCTACAGTGACTGCACAATTTTATATCCCCATCAGCAGTCTATGAGGGTTCCCATTTCTCTATAGAAGCATCAGCACTTGCTATGGTCCATCTTTTTGATTATAGTTATCCTTGTGGGTGTGAAGTTGGCATCTCATTGTGGTGCTGATTTACATTTCCCTAATGGCTGATGGTGTTGAACAACTTTTCTTGTCCTTATTGGTCATCTGTATATGTTGATTGGAGAAATTTCTATTCAGATCCTTTTCCTATTTTTAAATTTGATTTTCTTTTTGTTATCAAATTGTATGTTGTCTTTACGTACTGTAAATAGGTTCCTTATCAGTTATATGACTTGCAGATATTTTTCTTTTTGTGGGTTGTGTTTTCACTTTTTTGATGGCGTTCTTTGAAAAACATTTTTTTTTTTAAAGATTTTATTTATTTGCTGGAGAGAGAGCATAGGTGAGAGAGAGTGAGCGAGAGTGCAAGCAGGGGGAGCTGCCGGCAGAGGGAGAAGCAGGCTCCCTGCCGAGCAAGGAGCCTGATGCAGGACTCAATCCCAGGACCCTGGGATCAATGCCCGAGCTGAAGGCAGCGGCTTAACCTACTGAGCCACCCAGGCGTCCCGAAGCACAAACATTTTTAATTTTGATTATGTCTAATTTGTTTCCTTTGTTGCATGTGCTTTGGGGGAGTCATATAAAAAAATTGCCAAGGGGGGGGCACCTGGGTGGCTCAGTCATTAAGTGTCTGCCTTTGGCTCAGGTCATGATCTCAGGGTCCTGGGATCGAGTCCCGCATCAGGCTCCCTGCTTGGCGGGAAGCCTGCTTCTCCCTCTCCAACTCCCCCTGCTTGTGTTCCTTCTCTCGCTGTGTCTCTCTCTGTCAAATAAATAAATAAAACCTTAAAAAAAAAAAAATTGCCAAGGGGCGATGTGTGGCTCAGTTGGTTAAGGGTCTGACTCTTGATTTTGGCTCAGGTCATGAACTCAGGGTTGTGGAATCGGCCTCCTGTTGGGCTTTGCGCTGAGCATGGAGCCTGCTTGAGATTCTCCCTCTCCCTCTGCCCACCCCCCCCAACTGTGCGTGCGCTCTCTCTCTCTCAAATAAAATGTTTTAAAAAAAACTGCCAAATCCTAGGTCATGAAGGTTTATGCCTATGTTTTCTTCTTTTTTTTAGAGAGAGCATGCATGCAAGTCGGGGTGGGAGGGACAGAGGGAGAGGGAGAGAGAGATTCTTAAGCAGGCTCCATGCTCAGCACGGAGCCCGATGAGGGTCTCGATCTCACAGCCTTGAGATCATGACCTGAGCTGAAATCAAATTGGACACTTAATGGACTGAGCCACCCAGGCGCCCTGCCTATGTTTTCTTCTAAGTGTTTTATAGTTTTAGCTCACATTCATTCTTTTGCATGTGGATATCCACTTGTCCCAGCACCATTTGTTGAAAAGACTGTTCTTTCACCATTGAATGGTCATGGTATCTTTATTGAAAATCAGTTGACCATAGATACATGGGTTTATTCCTGGACTTTGAATTCTATTCCAGTGATGATATGTCTGTCCTTATGCTCGTATGACACTGTCTTTTTTTTTTTTTTAAAGATTTTATTTATTTACTTGAGAGAGTGAGAGAGAATGAGAGAGAGCATGAGAGGGGGGAGGGTCAGAGGGAGAAGCAGACTCCCCGTCGAGCAGGGAGCCTGATGCTGGACTCGATCCCGGGACTCCAGGATCATGACCTGAGCCGAAGGCAGTCGCCCAACCAACTGAGCCACCCAGGCGCCCTGACACTGTCTTAATTACTATAGCTTTAGAGTAAGTTTTGTAGTGGGGAATATATGAATTCTCCAACTTTGTTCTTTTTCAAGATTATTTTGGCTATTTTGGGACTCTTCAGTTTCCATGTGAATTTTAGGGTTGCCTGTCAATTTCTTCTTCTTCTTCTTTTTTTTTTTTGCCTGTCAGTTTCTACAAAGAAGTCATGAGATTCTGATAGGGATTGTGCTAAGTTTTCTTTTAAATATAATGATCTCTTCTTAGTATCCAAAATATATAAAGAACTTATAAAACTCAACATCCAAAAAACGAATAATCCAATTAAAAAACAGAAGACATGAATAGACGTTTTTCTGAAGAAGACATCCAGATGGCCAACAGACTCATGAAAAGATGCTTGGGGCACCTGGCTGGCTCAGTCGGTAGAGCATGCAACTCTTGATCTTGGGGTTGTGAGTTTGAGCCCCATGTTGGGTGTAGAGATTACTTAAAAATAATCTTTTTTTTAAAAAAAGATATCATCAGGGAAATACAAACCAAATGACAATGAGATATTACCTCACACCTGTGAGAATGGCTAAAATCAACAACACAAGAAACAACAGGTGTTGTCGAGGATGTGGAGAAAGGGGAATGGAGAAAGGGGAACCCGCTTGCACTGTTGATGCAAATGCAAACTGGTGCAGCTCCTCTGGAAAACAGTATGGAGGTTCCTCAGAAAGTTAAAAATAGAGCTATGCTATGATCCAGCAATTGCACTACTAGGTATTTACCTGAAGAATACAAAGAATACAAAAATACTAATTCAAAGGGATACATTCACCCCAATGTTTATAGCAGCATTATTTACAATAGCCAAACTATGGAAACAGTCCAAGTGTCCATCAGTAGACGAATGGATGAAGAAAAAGATAAGGAATGTATATATACAATGGAATATTATCCATAAAAAATAAAATCTTGCCATTTGCAACAACATGGATGGAGCAAGAGTATTATGCTAAGTGAAATAAGTCAGAGAAAGATACCATATGACTTCATTCATATGTGGAATTTAAAAAAAAAAAAGCAAAGTGGAAAAAAAGAGAGGTAACCAAGAAATAGACTAGGGGATTAAGGAGTGCAGTTGTGATGAGCACCAGGTGATATATGGAAGTACTGAGTCACTGTATTGTACACCAGAATCTACTACAGTATGTTAACTAAGTGGAACTAAAATAAAAACCTTAAAAATATACATATAGGATCCCTGAGTGGAGTCATATGTATACCTCTTACCAAGAAACATGAACAAATATTTGTTGACATCCAAACTGAGTAGCAGACTAACAGACATAATTGGGTCCTAATGGCATGGGACAGATTGGAGAGTGTGGGCACGGAGGCAGCACAGACCTGAAGACTTGTATAAAGGCTGGGCCTGCCCATGGCCAAAACGTGTTACTGGATGGACAGACACTGGGAGACATCTTTGTAGTTGGAAGGTGTAGGCACTGTGCACATGGGTCAGAGTCTGAGCTGGGTGGTGGTGATGATGGTCATACAAGGCAGTGGGGAGTGGGGGCAGAGGCAGGTGTCAGGGACCCTCAGTGTCGGGGCACCACAGGAAGGAATACACTGTTGATTGTTTTAGAGTGCTGGGCTGGTCACAAAGAACAGAGCTATAGTGACCCACGGACCCACGGACCTTATCTTTGGGGCTTTAGCTGAAGAGAGGAGAGTGCTTTGCATGTATTAGATGCTCACAGAATACCATTGAACAATTAATGGATAAAATCATAGTAATGATCACTTATGAAGACTTTAACAGTGTTTTTCAAAGTAAAGAGAAATGGAAAAATCACAGATGATCAGTGACTAGAAAAATGCTGAAATACTTATGTTAGCTTGATGAAATATTGCACTGTTATAATGCGACAATTGTGAAGACTGGAGACACGGTGGAATGTTTAAGGGAAGGTTACACAATCATGTAAAATGTGTATATATGAAGAGAAACTGGAAGGAAATGAAAACTTTGAGTTAAGGTGGTGATACTTGTTTCAGAATTTCCTCTTACTGTTACCTTCCTGATAAACAAAGACTGTTGGCTGTGATTGCTTTGGAGCTAGGCTGGGCCCAGAGTATGGGCTAGAACCGTACCCAGGAGGGCAGGGGGTTGTGGACAGGTCCTGCTGGGTCTCTATTTGCTGTGCACGTGTGGTCTGCACCTCTGTCTGCTCAGTCAGCAGGTGCTTATTGGATACCTGTCCCATACCATGCCCAGGGATGTAGCAGCAAGCCAGATGGACAGGAACTTGTACCCCAGCAGAGAACACAGATGAGGGAAGAGCAAATGAGGAGGGGTGTAGGAAGGCAGGTGGAATTGCAGTCTGGGAGAGTCAGCAAGGAGGCCAGCGTCACTGCCATGGTGTGAGGTGGGGACCTCCTGTTTAGAGAGACTGTAGCTGGAGTCTAACCATTTCTCTGAGCTTGGTGTTGGTCACACGCTCATTCTCTAGAACCATTGCAGGATTCTGGTTACTCACTCTTCCCCATATGATTCATTCTCTACCAGGAATCCGCAGGGGTCCTTAAACACTAGAGCAAAACCACTCTCAGATTACTCCCCTCCCTCCCTTAAAATCACTGCTATAATCAGAAAGTGTAGACCCTTCCAGACCCTTGCTTGTCAAGGGACAGTGGACCAGGCTGGCCTGGTATTCATGGGGCTCCTCCCTGTCTGGCCTGAGCCTTTGGTGTCCTTGTGCTCTGAATGTTCTTGTTCAGTCTTGGTCATATCTAAAGTAGCTTCCCTGTGTTTCTCTGTCTCTTTACCTTGGTTTATTTATCTAAAGCTGTCTTTTGGTTTTTTTCATGTTTTTTTAAGGGGTGTGATGTCTCTCCTCTGTAGCCTCTGCCTGTCCTTGGCAGGGATTCAGCTCCTTCTAGACTGTTCTCTAGATATATTTTATGAATTTTACATATAAATATAAGTGCACATATTTGTAAGTGATTTTTTATCATGGTGTATATTGTTGTCTAAAAATTGTTTGTTTACTTTTCTACCGGGGGTTCTACCAAGTCCAACATACAAAGCATTCCTAATTGTGCTTTTTAGTATTTACAGATTTTATTTTATTTTATTTTTTTTTAAAGATTTATTTATTTGAGACAGAGAGAATGAGATACAGAGAGCATGAGAGGGAGGAGGGTCAGAGGGAGAAGCAGACTCCCCGCCGAGCAGGGAGCCCGATGCGGGACTCGATCCTGGGACTCCAGGATCATGACCTGAGCCGAAGGCAGCCGCTTAACCAACTGAGCCACCCAGGCGCCTCGTATTTACAGATTTTAATGTCATATTAAATGTCATATTAATGTCACTTTCTTGACAATTGAGGCCTAAGAAATTTGTTCTTGAATTGCAACAAAGTATATAAAATTTTTTTCCTAAAACATTTTCATTATAAATATTTGGATGAATACTCAGGAATTGACAGGTAGAGTTTTGTAAGATTGCATAAGGGAAATCTTAGTGATAAAAAAAGTATAGATATTTAAGTGACATTTATTTTTTATATTAATGCACGGGAAATTGCTCATAATTTCATAACCCAGGTAATCTTTATTGACACATTTAAAAACGTACTCACGCACATGCACACACATCTGTTTGGAAAACTGTCATCGTTCTGAATTTTGTGCCCATCATTCCCTTGTTTTCTTTTTTACACAGTTTCATTGTAGTTATTTGTATTTCTAAAAAGTAGATATTTTAATTTTAATAGTTTTTAATTTTTTTTTTTTAAGATTTTATTTACTTGACAGAGAGAGAGACACAGCGAGAGAGGGAACACAAGCAGGGGGAGTGGGAGAGGGAGAAGCAGGCTTCCCGCCGAGCAGGGAGCCTGATGCGGGCTGGATCCCAGGACCCTAGGATCATGACCTGAGCCAAAGGCAGACGCTTAATGCCTGAGCCGCCCAGGTGCCCCAGTAGTTTTTAATTTTATAGGGTATCATGCTATGTGTAATTTTCTGGGATTTCCTTTTTCACTTAACATAATATTGCTAAGGTTCATTTATATCGCATGTTGCCAATACTTTATTTTGTCTGCTTTCCAATTTTTGAAATCTGTGAAATCTCCAGTCTGTGAAAACACCCGAATTTTTTCATCCACTCTTGCATTGAGGGACATTTCAGTTTCCAGGTTTTTTTTTCTCTTTTCCCCCTCGCCTTTTAAAAAATTGTGTCCTGTGCTGCCCGGAACATTTCCATGCTCTTCTCTTTCCTGTGTGAGTGGCATTGCCAGGTCACTGGGTGTGTAAATGTTCAATTTTGGGAGAGACTGCACTGCCGCTTCCAAGGACCGTGGCAGAAGGCCAAGCTGGTGACACTCCTCCCAGCAGAGCTCAGAGTGGCTGGGCCCCACCCCCTTCCAAGGCCAGCCTTGTCACGTGGTTTGGTGTGGGTCCTTTGAGTGTGAAATGGCATCTCATCTTAAGCGGTGTTTCCTTGATCGCTAATGACATTGAATGTCTCTTCTGTTTATTGACTGAATGAATATCCTTTTTTGTGAAATGTCTGTAGATGCCATTTGTCCCTTTTGGGGGCTTTGTACTTTTATGATTTTGCAGTGCTTTATATATATATATTTTTTAAGATTTTATTTTTAAGTAATCTCTACACTGAGTGTTGGGCCTGACCTCATAACTCTAGATCAAAGAGTCAAGTGCTCCTCTGACTGAGTCAGCCAGGCACCCCTCTTAGTTTAGGTTTTGATATTTAATTTCTCTTTCTTCTAGAGTTGGCTTTTTTCTTGTGTTTAAAAAATTTTTTTTAACATTTTCTTTTTTTTTTTTTAAGACTTATTTATTTTGGTGGGGAGGGGCAGAGGGGGATGGAGAGATTGTCTCGAGCCGACTCCATGCTGAGCACTGATCTTAATGCAGGTCTCCATCTCATGACCCTGAGATCATGACTTGAGCCCAAACCAAGAGTCAGATGCTAACCAACTGTGTCACCCTAGCGCTCCTAAAAAGTTTTTTAAATAAATGGTGTGAGTAGGGAGGGATTCAGTGTCCTGTTTTTTCATGTGCTGCATCATTTCTTCCCAGCTTTAGGTTATCAAGCAGGCCTTTCTTTCTCCATCAGTCTGATGTCCCACACCCCAGAGTTCACATGTGCGCGAATCTTTTTCTGGGTTTGTGCCTTTGGCCAGCTTGCCTCTCATATGCTGCTCAGTTACATGGTTTCATTATAAATCCTGGAAACCAGTAGGCTAGTCACTCCTCCATGCTTCTCTACTTCAAAAGCATTCTGGATAATTTATTATTTATCCTTTAATTTATTTATTTAATTCTTTTATTGGCCATTTATTCTTTAATATAAACTTCAGAATTATCAAATTTCATGAAAAATACTGTTGGGATATTAATTGCACTTGCATTGAATCTGTAGATCAATTTGATGAGAATGGACATCTTACCAGTATTGTGCCTTCTTATTTGTGAATATAGTGTATCTCTCTATTCATTTCGTTTTTTAATAAAAAGTCTCAGTGAAACTGTATTTTTTGTGTAGAGGTCTTGCCCATGTTTTGTAGGTTTATTCCTAGGTCACTGATGACTCTCTGATGCCATCGTCAGCGATATTCTCTTTGTAATTGCCATGTCTAATTGTTCACTGGTGGCGTGCAGCAAGGCACCTAAGTGACTATCTACCCTTACATACGGCCACCTTGCTGAGCTCTGCTGTCATCCTAGTAATTTGTAAGTCATGTGACCTGCATGCAATAACAGTTTTATCTCTTCCTTTCTGACCCTCAGACTGCAGTTCTTGTCTGATTGTACCAGTTAGCACTCCCAGTAGAGTGTTGAGTTGAGGCAGTGCTGGTAGATATCCTTGTTCTTGGTTTTGTTTATTTATTTTTATTATTTTATGAACTTTCCAGTGTCCAGGTAATTTCAAATGTACAAAATCTTGCAAAAATAATACACAGGATTTCCACATGCCCTCCGTCCAGATGCCCCAGTTGTTAACATTTGACCACATTTGCTCTGTCAGTCTCTGTATCTATTCTTCTGTCTAGTTTTTATTTGCTTTCCGTGATCATTCTTGATTTTGTAGGAAATGCATTTACAGTGTCTTTGAGGGTTCTTCAGTTCCAGTGTGGGGAGGGGCAGTGCCCCACACAGTAATTACCAAGCAGGGTGTCCTTGAATTCGGCTCAGTTCTGGAACTACCTGGAGAAAGCATCACGTTCCACAGGTTGTGCTGAGTCCTACAAGACCCCCCCTGGTCTTAGACGTCGGTCGTGAGTCTGGGTTGTCACTTGTGCTTCTGGCTGACTGGCTACAGGTTGGAGGTTCCGACGACCCTTAGGTTCGATTAATTTTCTAGAATGGCTCACAGAACCCAGAGAAACATCTCACTGGACTACTGGTTTATTATAAACAGGTAGAACTCAGGGACAGCCCAATGGAAGAGATGCACAGGGGCGAGGTGTGTGGGAAGGGCGGGTAGCTTCCACGCCCTCACCAGGCGCGCCATTTTTCCTGAAAGTTTCCACGTGTTCACCAGCCTGGAGGCTCTCCCTGAACCCTGTCCTTTTGGCTTTTTATGGAGACTTCATTACATAGGCATGCTTGGTTAACTCATTGGCCGTTGGCAATTGATTCAGCCTCCAGCTCCTCTATCCTCCCCAGAGGTCTGGGTGGGACTGGAAGTTCGTCCCTCTGATCCTGTGGTTTGCTTCTTTGGCAGCCAGCCCCATCCTTTCATGCTTCCCAGAAGTCAAGTTACTAACATAATAAAAGACACGGCATCAATGTTTTGGGGGCGGTGAGCCAGAAATGGGAGGAAGACCAAATCTATATTTCCTATAATAAAGTACAATATCACAGGATGGGGGTTACTTTATTATTTTTTTAATACTCTATCAGAATAAGGAAAATTCTATTCCTAATTTACTGAGTTTTTAAAGTCATACTTAGGTATTGAATTTTACCAAATACTTTTTCTACATTAAAAAAAAAATCTGTTAATGTGGTGAATTACATTTATGAATCTTATAATCACGCTTGTATACCTGGGATACACCAAGTAATGCCTGGTAGTGTTTTATATGCTTTTGAATTCAGGTTGCTGATATTTTGCTTAGAAGTTTTCATCTGTATTTGTAGTAGAAATTTCCACTCATTTTATTGTCTCTTTCTCCTCTTTGGGTTCATTTTCTTGTTCATTTATACCTTTTTTCTTTATTTATTTTAGAGAGGGAGAGAGATGGGGGGGGAGGGGTAGAGGGAGAGAGAGAATCTCAAGCAGAGTCCACACCCAGCACGGAGCCCAATGTGGGGCTTGATCCTAAGACCCTGAAATCATGATCTGAGCAGAAACCCACAATCAGGTGATTAACCGACTGAGCCACCCAGGTGCCCCATTTATACCTTCTTTAGACGGATTTGTTGCCCAGTTAAAAAAAGCACATTAAAAACGTATTGGGGACCTTTTTTCATGAAGCTGAAGCCCACAGGTACTGTTTTTATAGTTACTTTGGGTATGAGGAAGTAGGGGTGATGGCCTGGGGAGACCATGTGGCTGGTGGTTAATGAGTCCTTAGTACATGATTAAAGAGCTGAGTAAGTGAAGAAAAGCATGGCCCAGTGGTCCCAGTATACCATGTACAAAGCTGGATGGATCAAAATTCTTAGTACACTCAAGGCCCGAAAGAAGAGAGAAGGAAAAAGAAAAAAAGTTAAAGAGTAAGAAAAGATGCATGTTGCAAGGTAACTTTCTGCCTCCCTTTTTGCTCTTAATCTTACTTACAAAGGTCACATGCTATTAATAATTTCTTATAATTCCTTCCCAAAGGATTTTTGTGCACATGCCAGCGTCTCTGTTCTTACAGGGATCTCACAGACACACTCTTCTGTACCCTACCTTGTGTTTGTCTCCACGGCTTTCCCCAGTAGCACACCAGCTTTTTAGTATTTCCTTGTTGGGCTGTAACAATTTCTTTTTTTTTTTTTTTAAAGATTTTATTTATTTATTTATTTGAGAGAGCGAGAATGAGAGAGAGAGAGAGAGCACATGAGAGGGGGAAGGTCAGAGGGAGAAGCAGACTCCCTGCTGAGCAGGGAGCCTGACATGGGACTCGATCCCGGGACTCCAGAATCATGACCTGAGCTGAAGGCAGTCGCTTAACCGACTGAGCCACCCAGGCACCCGGGCTGTAACAATTTCTGTATCTAGTTGGTGGATATTTAGATGGTCTCATCTAGAAAGAAGGCTGAGTGAATGTCCTTGTTAGGTATGACTTGGAGACCTTTTGCAGGGGTATCGTAGAGTAAACTAAAAGGTGCAGTTGTGTTAATTTTATAGATCTGGCCAGGTTGCCCTCAAAGAGGTTTCATTAATTTTTTTCATACCAACAGTATATGGAAATTGCCTGTTTATCCACACTCTTATATTAATAGACTTTAACATTTTTTTGCCCATCAGATAGCTAGAAAATGGTATCTTCCTTGCTTTAAATGCATTTCCTTCCTTCCTTCCTTCCTTCCTTCCTTCCTTCCTTCCTTCCTTCCTTCCTTCCTTCCTTCCTTCCTTCCTTCCTTTTTTAAGATTATTTATTTATTTATTTGAGACAGAGAGAGTGAGAGTACAAGCAGGGGGAGTGGCAGGGAGAGGGAGGAGCAGGCTCCTGCGGAGCAGGAAGTCCGATGTGGGGCTCGATCCCAGGACCCTGGCTGGCATCATGACCTGAGCCGAAGGCAGACGCTTAATGAGTGAGCCACCCAGGCGCCCCTAAATGCGTTTTCTTAATAATGAGTGAACAGTTACATTTATTTTCATTAGCATGTGCATTTATTTTTCTGTGGTCTGCCTGCCTTTTCTGTCCTTTGTCAGTTTGGGGAGTGGGAGCTGAGGGTGGGGTAGGATTGTCGTCTGCTCTCTGTGAGTGCAGGTAGGTTTGTGAAGGACCATGGCTCTGTTGATACCGTGTTCTACATCTGAACTTCCAGTCTGTGTCTGAGTCTGGTGCCTTCGTTGTCCGCTCTTGGCTGAGTGGAACCGGAGACTTAGCGAAGAATGACTCATCATTCATTTTCTGGTTTGTTGGCCATGGTCTTTGACTTGACCCCCTCCCCATAATGGTTTTGGGGTTCAGCCACAGCCTGCAGACCCCAGTCAATACCAGCAGCAGAAATACAGAAAGTGGGTAGGGAGTTATGGAAGAGCATGTGTATAGGAAGGTTAGTATTACTTATTTTCATATAACCTCGAAAATAGGAAGTGATATTTGTGGTTTTATTTTACAGTTTGCTTGAAACCTGAATATACTACTTTTAAAATATTGCCTCCTTAGAAAAAAGGCTTCAAGTATTTAGTTTTGTGTTAGGAGCCACAACTTGGACTTGGAGGGCTGGCACAGCAGGGTCTCTTCCCTAAAGGGGACGTTTGCGAGTGGAGGATGGGTGATATTTGGGAGGAGACCGGCTGTTCTCACTGCATGGCAGTGTTGGGGTACTGAGACCCGCCCCACGCTTTTCCTGGGAGGACAGAAGCACTTGGGCGAGGTGTCTGATGTGCATGGCAAGTCTTCGGTTTTCTTCCCTGTGATTCGAGCATCTCTAAGGTGAGTTCCTTATGACAGGGCTGGTAAAATGACTTTTGTTCCCTTAGACTTGACCTCAGATTCCTATCCTAGGTTTTTCATACGAAACTGACCCCAAGAAACCCTAAGAGCAATGACTATTATTATTATCGTTATTATTTATGTATCTGTGTGTGGGACGAGCTGTATTGATGGTTTCTATAGAAAGACCTTTCTGGGTTTTTAGGGTGAAGACACAAATGTGTAGTAAAATGGTTTCCTCCTGAGAAAACTCAAGTTACTTAAAAATGTTTGTTACAACCGTCTGAGGGGTTTTAGGTGCACTGTGGGCCCACACCTCTGGACTGCTCCCTACCTGGAGCTCCCTCCGTTTCAGGAGGTGGTTGCAGATGCTGGGAAAGGGCCGCTGAGGTGCCAGAGGAGGAGCCAGAGTGGAGCTGCTGTAACTTCTCTACAGTTGGCCGCAGTAAATGACTGCACTGAAGCAGGAGGAAGAAGTGACAGAGGAACATGCAAGGAACATGGTGTTTCCTATTTGTCTTCCCTTTCTTTACACAGCTGCCCCTAGGCTGGGGACAGGGCCTAGGAGGTGGGGTGCCGGTGGGGTCACCTCCTTGCCCCACCCCCTGTGGAATACCCCTGTTGTGGTGTCTTGTCACTGGATGTGTGCATTTTCTTGGGAGTGGGGGTGGGCAGTCCCTCCAGAGCTTTGAGTATTGAAAAGCAGGTAAGGCCTGTTCTCCGTTGCAGGAGAAAGCTCCTACCTTTTTCAGTTGTGCTGATGATAAACCAGTTTCTTTTCTCTTGCTTGAACGTTTATAAAGAAAGTACAGGAAGTTTTTGCTTTAACGCGAACCCTAATGATGTTGCCATGTTTTGTCCTTCCCTGCCCCACAGTGGCCTTATTAGTGGTGGTGAGGAGCAAGGAAGGCATGAGTGCAAGAGTCTGGGGGTGGGCAGGGACGGGCTAGGCCGTGTATGGAGGCTGTGGCCATGTTATTTTGCAGTTGGCTCATTTTCTGTGCAGGCTTGGGAGAAAGTCTGTCAGCTCTGGGTATGAGACTGGCACCCACCACTCCCCGTGAGGCCGTGCCTTGCCTCATGGGAGCCTTTGGGCACGTGTTAAGGTTGCAGGATGGCCCGTCTGCCTTGGTGATGGGGAGACTCATTTTCCTCGGAATGACAGAAGGGGGGCTGTGGAGACGTGCAGAGAACCAAGGAAGCAGAGCTTCCACATGGTCTTCTAAGCTTTTCCATAAAAAAGCAAGACCGTGCATGAGCACATGAAGACACATCGTAGGGGGAGCGACCTGGTGAGGGGCTCTGGTTTTACTTACTGGAAATGGGGTTGGAGCGGATTGGTCCTTAGGCTGCCTGTTCTAGAACTGTATTCTTGGAACAAAAGGGTGGGGGAGGGTAGGCTACTCTCCCAGATCTGAGGAAACTCCAGCTCAGCCAGCGGAATGAGGAAGAGGGAACAATAGGGACGGCTCCTTTGTGCCTGCCCTTGAACGTGGGGGCCACTGTGAACCCAGGCCCTGTGTGCTGGGAAATGGCGCTGTTGTGGGTGGTGGTTACAAGAGGGACCGTTTAACCAGGTATGCAGGCAGATTGAACGCCTGTGATGACAGTTTCACTGGTGGGTCTTGTTAGCAGTTCGGCCCATGAGGGAGTGTTTGTTTCCTTATTTTGGAAAGTGCGCTTTTAGAGGAACTGTTTCCCCAGGCCATGTTGAGGTTGTACGCTGTGCACAGGCAGGTTCTGACCTCTCCTCCCTCTTCTCCCTCCTCCCCTTCCCTCCTTCCTCCCTCCTCCCCCTTACCCTGTCCTCTCTCTCCTTCTTCCCCCTTCTCCCTCTTCTTCCTCCCTCTCTCCCTCTCCCTTAGGTGAAGGGTCCCTCCCGCTGTGGGAAGGGTGGAATCGAGACCATTGCCTTGTTAGGACTGCAGCCCCAAGGTGGGGGCAGAGCCTAAGCACAGGGGGGAAGGCAGGGCCAGGGGGACGCCTCACTTAGGTAGACATTTGCTTTTCATTTTGTTTTGTTTTGTTTTTAAAGATATTATTTATTTGAGAGAGAGAGAGTGTGTGAGCAAGAGAGCACAAGCAGGGGGAGCGGCAGGGAGAGGGAGAGGCAGGCTCCCCGCCGAGTCAGGAGCCCTATGTGGGGCTCAATCCCAGGACCCTGGGACCATGACTTGAGCCGAAGGCAGACACTTAACCGACTGAGCCCCTCAGGCGCCCCAACATTTGCTTTTCATTTTAAGAGGATTCTAGAGATTTTTTTTTGAGGTTTTTCTTTTTTAAGTGTTAGAAGATTTTTATCTCCTTGAAGTAGCATGAATCATCTGTGGACCATGGCATTAAGAGAAAACAACATAACCAAAGTGAAAAAGTTTAAGTGAAGTAAAAAGTTATGGTGGATTTTTAAAATTAAAAATACATTCAGTCAAGTATTTTGTCTTCTCCTTAGAGAACTAGGGGAGGAAGGGTATGCTGCGATACTGTTCATCACAGTGGCCTGGGTGGTTTGGCATCTGAAGTCATGTAGGAAGCATGCTGCTTGGTGGGCTTCACAGAATCCGGAAGGAGCCTATCCAAACTGACTCACCTTCGGGAATTGTGATAGATGGCATGAGGGACTTCTGGAGGTCCATTTCTCCTGACACATTTCCATTTCACAGACTTTCCTTTAAAAAAGAAAAGCGAGGGGCGCCTGGGTGGCTCAGTCGTTAAGCGTCTGCCTTCGGCTCAGGTCATGATCCCAGGGTCCTGGGATCAAGCCCCGCATCGGGCTCCCTGCTCGGCGGGAAGCCTGCTTCTCCCTCTCCCACTCCCCCTGCCTGTGTTCCCTCTCTCGCTGTGTCTCTCTCTGTCAAATAAATAAATAAAATCTTTAAAAAAAAAAAAAAATAAATAAATAAAAATAAAAAAGAAAAGCGAGACATTGCTGTGAAGGAGAGCTCATAGCATAGCCTTTTAAGAACACGTTCCTTCTTTTCTGCCTTGGGAAGCAGTGGGACCAGTTGGGGTGCAGGCAAGCAGGAGGAAGAGGACC